GACACCCTAGAGGAGCACCGTCGACTGGTTCATGAAGTACTTCAGCGGTTGGAGGAGCACGACCTCTACCTGCGCCCTGAGAAGTGCGAGTTCGAGCGGGAGGAGGTGGAGTACCTGGGGCTGGTGATCCGTCAAGGCTCGGTCAGCATGGACCCGGTGAAGGTCAAAGCCGTGCGTGACTGGCCAGATCCTCGTAACCTGCGAGATCTGCGCGGTTTCCTTGGATTTGCCAACTTCTATCGTCGCTTCATCAAGGACTTTGCTAGGCTGGCTCGTCCCTTGAACGACTTGACGAAGAAGGACGTCGCGTGGACATGGGAGTTCGCGCAGCGTCAGGCATTCCGCGCGCTCAAGGACGCCTTCATCAGCGAACCGGTTCTCGCTACATGGGCACCAGATCGACCCACCAGACTCGAGGTGGACGCTTCTGGATTCGCAACGGGTGGTGTTCTGCTCCAGAAGCTCCCCGACGGCCTATGGCACCCGATCGCGTTCCGCTCAGAGTCCATGTCGGATGCAGAGCGCAATTACGAGATCTACGACCAAGAGCTCTTGGGGATCATCCGAGCATTGGAGGACTGGCGCCACTACCTTGAGGGCCTTCCAGATCCCTTTGAGATCATCACGGATCATCGGAACCTCGAGTACTGGCGTACTGCTCAGCATCTCTCACGGCGGCAAGCGCGATGGTCAATCTGGTTGGCACGCTTCGACTTCGTCCTCACCCACAAGCCTGGGAAGACGAACACGCAGGCAGATCCTCTCTCACGTCTCCCCACTCATCAGGTCACGGACGCGGAGGACAACCAGGAGCAGGTCGTACTCAAGCCAGAACGGTTCGCTCAGCTAGCCGCAACCATCTGCAGCGACACCGATCTGCTCGAGCAACGCATCCGTGAGTGCACCAAGCGCGAAGTGGAGGTTAGAAGCGGGCTTGCAGCGCCGCCTCGCAGGATGGCAAGTGGAGTAGCCGAGTGGGAAGAGCACGGGGGCCTGGTGTATCACGAAGGTCGCCTATACGTGCCAGCCGACCCAGAGCTCAGACGAGAGGTTCTTCGGCGATGCCACGACTCAGTCACAGCTGGACACCCTGGACGCAGCAGCACCCTTGAGCTCGTCAGCCGACACTACTGGTGGCCTGGGATGGCGCTCTTCGTGGCCAAGTACGTTGCAGGCTGCGAGCGCTGTCAGCGCTACAAGCCAGCTCCACATCCACGCTCCACTTTGCATCCGCACGACGTCCCTGAGGCCCCCTGGAAGGTGGTGGGAGTAGACCTGGTCACCGGGCTCCCAGAGTGCGAAGGGTTCAACGCCATCGCGGTGTACGTCGACCACTACAGCAAACAGTGTCACGTCCTCCCCACACGCGACAGCGTCGATGCTGCCGGCATTGCCGACCTGCACTACCGCGAGATCTTCCGCCTACATGGTGTCCCTCGGAAGATCGTGTCGGACCGTGGTCCCCAGTTCGCCGCCCGCGTAATGCACGAACTCTACAGCAAGCTCGGCATTGAACATGCACTCACCACCGCGTACCACCCTCAGTCTAACGGACAGACCGAGCGAACGAACCAGGAAGTAGAGCAGCACTTGCGCCTGTTCGTACGCAAACGGCAAGACGACTGGGTACGCTATCTGCCAACGGCCGAGTTCGCGCTGAACAGCCGAATCCACTCTGCGCACAACCACACACCCTTCGAGGTCATGTACGGGTACAAGCCAGACTTCACGGTACCAGTGGGAACAGATACTCGCTTCCCTCATCTCGAGGATCGTCTAGAGGGCATGCGCCAAGCACAGAAGGACATTGAATCAGTGCTGCGCGCAGGCAAGGCGAAGATGAAGGTCCACTTTGCAGAGGAACACCCTCGTGATCGGAAGGCGTTCGAAGTCGGAGACAAGGTCTGGCTTAGCGCAAAAGACATCAGTGTGCACCAGGCAACGCGCAAGCTTGGTGTCCGGCAGCTGGGACCCTACAAGGTGGTCGAACGCGTGGGTGACCTAGCCTATCGTCTCGAACTCCCACCCACGCTCAAGATCCACCCGGTCGTACATGTGGATCGGCTGTCCAAGTATGGAGGGAATGAGGTGAACGGGCGACGAGCACCACCGCCAGAGCCAGTGGAAGTGGACGGAGAGGAGGAGTACGAGGTGGAGAGGATTCTGGACAGTCGGTTCTTCAACCGCCGGCTTCAGTTCCAGGTGCGGTGGAAGGGATACGGAGAGGGGGACGACTCGTGGGAACCAGCGGCGAATGTCGCCAATGCCCCAGAGAAGGTCGCAGAGTTCTACGAGCGCAATCCCAACGCGCCTCGCAAGATATCTGCGACTCTATTCGCCGCTCTGCCATGGAGGAGGGTCGAGCACCCTGAGCATGCAGAAACGGAGAAGGAAGACTGGCAGGAGGGGAGGATCATGTCCATCCGGGACGGATGGGTTTTAGGAGGGGGGTAATGTCGTGGAACGGACTCTGGACTCACCCTATGTATTATTTTTCGCCATTTCTCTGCCTTTTCTCTGCCTGTTACTATATTGGAAGGTTGTTCCCGCGCTTAAGCGCCCGTATCGCGGACTCTCTTAGCACTTGCACTTCGTGTCCTAGCCCTCATCTCGACCTCTTGGTCTTTGTGGGCTAGGTGAGTATCTCAATTGCCTGTATGTATGTAGAGCTATGTTAACTTGGTCTTTGTGGGCTAGACATCCCTCGCGTGACTCTAGTTTGCGTTTGCTTTGCGCCTAGTGCCGGCGACGCCTCTGCACCACCACATCGAGGTCATCCAACCTCTATCCATACCCATCCACACCTCCCTCTCCTCCGATTGGCGTACGCGGCCCGCTCCCGCGTCAGGGGCACGTCTGTGCGCCGTCGAAGGTGGCGCGCTCGATATGGTCCGCGAGAGGACTGGCAGATGGGCGGTGCGCGAAAGGCTTGAGAGGGCCGCCCGTGCGCGTGCGCGTTGGTCGCAGTGGTAGCGGCGGTGGCGGGCGTGAGTGCTCGTCTGTGGTCCCAGGCGCGAGTGGCGTGCGCATTGTATTCGCGCGCGCGCCCAGCGGGCCATACCCCGCGAAGGAGGTCCGCACGTTCAATGAGTTCTACTAGGACCGTGTGAAGTTCTCCGTCTCTACGCACGCACTTACAACACCTGGTTTCGTTTACATTGTGCCATCATCGCCCGTTGATAGGTACATCTATGTCGCTGTCGCTAGATACTGGTCTGGTCTGTGTCAGACCTTGAATTCATAGTCATAATCGCGCTATATTTTACGTGTGATGAGTGCTACTACTCGATATCCAGTGCCTGAAGCAGTGATCTACGGGCATGAGTGAGACTAAGTGCATCTGGTGAGGGCCTACCTTCACGACTAATTCTTCATTCTCCGTGTAATGGTCTCTCATTAGCAGAGGGGTAAGCGAAAAATAATACTTCTGAATAATGCGATAATCCAGCTCATTAGCCCTCACAAGCCTCAGTAACGTCTCATTATGGATTCGGGTTTTTCCTGATGAAATCGCTGTCTTACAGAGCAACAATGCCGAACATGGACCCTGGACTAGAAGATAGAGCGAAAAGAGGATGAGTAGGCAATCTAGGACCGAGCCGAACCGAGCAGCGACGCCCAGGCCCTCTAGACAATACCATGTCTCATGCGCACCTGCTGCGGCGTATATGCTGCGTGGCTGCGACTTGCACCTCGTCTTCCTCTACCTGCACAGTGGACAGAGGAAGACGACGCAGGTGTGCATAACCAACCAGTGCTGTCCGAAGCAGTCGAGCGTCATCTCGTCCCCGCTCCTCTGCCGGCTGCCGGACGCCCTGTCAGCACACATGCACCGCATCTCACGCCCGAAGTGCCAGGCGCATGGTCTTGAGGGGCAAGCACCGGGGTAGGTGTGGCCGGGCGAGGAGACTAGAACGGGCTGGTCTCACCCCGAGGATGCCATGGGTAACGGCCAACAGCATCAGCACCTTGCGCATACGTTCGTGAGACTGGCTGCACGTTCTCGTCGCTCTGCGCACCCCTGAGAGACGGCACTGACGTGGACGTACGATGTCTTCCCGGTCATCCCATCCTCTCGGGTGGGATGCAGATTCTGCGAGCGATGCTTGGAGGGACGAATCATACCATGCGCAAGACTGTCGGCGGTGAGGGGTGATCCCGACGGAGCCCCATGACGCCGCCTCGAGTTTTCCCGCAGTGATACGGCTTCACCTGTAGCGGGCGCTGAGCGCGGGAATCTTCCGGGCGAAGCGCACGAAAGGTGGTGGTAAACGTACCAACTTGAAGCTGGGGTGCGTCCCCAGCTCCTGTGGCGTATATATAGGTAGATCAACTACTGTACAGTACCACGAGGAGAATACAAAGGCCGCGATGATGCACGCGCGAGTGGCTGCTCGCGCGTGCTGCCCTTGGCTTGGGCGTGATAATCTACGCGAGACGGTCCGTGAGCGCTCCGAGCGCGCGATGGTCTAGGCGCGCAAAGTGACCGTAACACGCAGAGGTAGCGTCCGACAATTTGTTCTTCGGGGACCAGAGTTTGTTGGTCACTGTATGCCATCCATTGGCTTGCCGAGTGACCGCTCGAGGGCCATATTGATGAAAACTAAACTTTGAGACGGTCCGAGATCTCAACCAGGGGAAACATAGTTGCGCGAGGAGTGACAGAAGGTGTGTCAAGGAGAATGACCGGGGTGGAGGTGAGCGGCAAGGAAGGAACGTCGACGTGCGTCCGCTACGCGCGCTACGCATCCGGCTTTCCGCGCCGTGATTCTGGCCCTCGCGGTGTACCGAGGACGTGTCCTCGAACCAGCATCATCCCTCTTTCGCCATCACTCGGCGCTCTTTCACCCGGCCGTAGCATCGACGCTCTTGTTTGCCAACGTCCCGCTCACAAGTTCTCAGGTCAAGAGCTTCAGCTTCGGTAGTGTCCCAAATCTCAGTATCATACAACTCGTCTCCCCAAACGTCGCTCACTTCTCAGCCCGTCATACAGACCTCGCTCACTCAAAGATATCGGTCGCATATCGTCCTTGAATGACCTTCTCGAACGCCTCCGCCGCGCGCTCATCGTCGAACTCAGGTCGCGCCTCCTGGATCATCTTCGTCAACGCCTTCCTGATCCCCTGCGCGATCTTGCTCGAGCCACACGTGAAGAACTGTCGGGTGAGAAATGGACTGGTCAGATATCGCTTTCTCAACACTGATCGCACCGACTCACCTTCGCCCCACGGTTGTTGAACATGTCCTGGACCTCTTCGCGGTCGTGCCACACGCGACTGCGCGACCGCCAAACGATCAGTGCGGGAAAACCTCACGCAAACCAAAAATACTCACTCCTGCACATACTTGCACCCCGCAGACGCCTCCGACGCACGCGAGAACGCGGGGCGCACGTCCACAACGCCCGCTTCCACCCACTTCTTCAGCTCCTCGCCCTCACTCATGTACAAGTAGTCCTCTCCAGGCGCGCGGCAACCAAAGAACAACAGGCTCTTCGCCACGTCCCGTCCGGCCGCCTTCTGCAGCGCGCGCTCCTGCAGGAAGCCGCGCATCGGCGCAAGGCCCGAGCCCGCCGCAAAGAGCACGAGCGGCACCGCGGGGTCTTCCGGGGGGTGGAACGCGCCGCCTGCGGAGGCGCGAACGGCGAGCTGGACGACGTCACCGGGCCGAAGGCGCGCGAGGAAATTGGACGCGACGCCGAGGAACAGCTCCGCGTCCTTGTCCGCGCCACGCGCGAGGGAGGGTGCGGTCAGGACGGAGACTGTGAGCGACGGGCGCTGCGCGTCGTGGAGGGGCGAGGAGGAAATCGAGTACTGGCGGACACGCATCGCGGGAAGGAGCTCAAGGTAGGTGGGGAAGGGCAGAGCGAGCGCCGGGTGCGCTTCAAGAAGATCCAGGATGCTGAGGCGCCGTGCGAGTATCTCGGCTGAGTATGAGGCGAGGAGCGTTTCAAGCGCAGACTTGGTTTCTGGCGGACAGTCGGTAGCCATGAGAACGCGGAGGTCGCGCGTGGTTGCGGGTTGAGAGAGCTCGACGTAGCCTGAGAGGAGTGCGAAGATGGAAATGGGCTTGTCGACTGGGAGCGACGTCGGACCCACAGAAGCCAGTTTGATCTTGTGGAAAATCACGTTGATATATAATCATGTCATAAGTAAACGTGGACGCACCTGCTGCTCAGGCGACAGCCCAAATCTTGCCATGACGCGGTGAACGTCCCGCTCAGGGTTGGTTGGCAGGATTGCCAAATAGTCTCCAGAGCGGTACGTCATACCTTCGGGCAACTCGAAGACGAAGTGCCGTTTTTCATTCAGCGCATTTGGCGAAGTGAGCAGACGGTTCTCCACGACCTTGCCGAGGTCGGCATCCGCTTGACGGAGATTCGAGGCCCTCTCCTTCCCGTCGGACACCGTCTCCATCGACAGACCGCTCACGGCAGATGCTGCCTTGTCGCCGATCTCCACGCCGTACTCCTGCAGAACCGCAATTATTTGTTAGCTCCGCGAACGTTTCCAACGATTCGTTGGCCAAGCTGACCTTCACAAGCGTCTCCCAGAGCTTCGCCTCCCAGTCGTCAAAGACCTCAAAGAACTCCGCTGCCTGCGCGTCGCCCACTCCACGCTCCAACAACCGTTTCCCGCCACGCTCCTCCATCTTCTCGTCGATCATCCGCGGCACACGCTGGAACGTGCGCACCCAGTCCTTGTTTCCACATCCGAACACGGCGTACTTGACCCCCTCGCACTCTTTCTTGCCCGCGCCTTCGGCGTTGAACAGCCACTCGCAGAAGTGGGCCGCATTGTCTGCTGGCTCCCCCTCAAACGATGCGGTGACCACGACGAGTGGGCCGTCCGTAGGCACGTGTGCGGAAATCGAATCGAGCGTGCCGAGCGAGGCCGCAAAACCATGTGCGGGCGCCGCGCTCGCGATGCGCTGAGCGAACGTCTGGGACGTGCCCGTGTTTGAGCCGTACACGACGCTGAGCTTGTGCTTGAGCTCAGATGTGGCTACGGCGGGGGCATCGACCTTTGCGCGCGACTGCTGCGGCCCGGAGACCAGGGCCGAGGTCGGTGCGACTCCGAGGGGGGTCGTGGTGCGGTTGCGGGGGATGGCGTGAATGAGAAAACCTTTGGGCTTGATGGTGAGCATCTGCTTCAGCTGGAGGTCGTAAGAGGGGTCGTCGAGGACGATGTCGAACTTCTGCATGATGGTCGCGAGCGCGATGTGCGCCTCTTGCCAGGCGAAGGGGCGCCCGATGCATGCACGCATGCCGTACCCAAAGGGCTGCCAGGCGCTTTGCTAGATAGGGAGAATGAGAGAGCATTTTGCCGAAGATAGATATAGACACGTACTGGAAGCTTCTCAAAGTTCTCGCCGTAGACGCGTTCGGGCTTGAACTCGCGTGACTGGAGGGGTTTAAGTGAGATTAAGGCTCTGATTGCTACTCGAGACGACGTACGTCTTCGCCCCAGACCTTGGGATCAGTCTGTGTCCGGGACGCCAGAATGGCGATTTTATCTCCCTTCTTGAGGGCGTACTTGCCATCGCACACGGTCGTGTCCTCGAGCGACTCTACTACACGCGAGGTTGCCGGAGGTTCGAGACGGAGCGCCTCGCGAAGACACGCTGCAGGTCAATGCATGCATTCAGTACCTGGAATAATCATGCACACAGTGGCTTACCCGAGGTGTACTTGAGCTTCCCAATGTGATCAAGTCGGATGGGCTCGTCACCGAGCACCTCATCAACCTCCTCCTGCAGCTTCCGCATCGCCGCAGGGTTCTTGCACAGGTAATAGAGCGTGAAAGTGAGCATCCCCGATGTTGTTTCGTGACCCGCGACGAGGAACGTGAGAAGCTACGCCCACACGTGTCAGTGCACGCACACGCGCTGTCCAGCCATTTGTCCTACGTTGTATCGGATGCACTCGTCTGGCAGCTTTTTGCCCGTCTTCTTATCGACACCATTCAGCATGGTGTTGAGCAGATCATCCTTATCGATAGGGTTCGCCTTACGGTCCGCAATTACTGACAGATTGTGAGATTAGCGTCACGGCTAGTATCGAACAGTACGGTGCGTACTCTCGTTACAGAGGTCTTCCATGACCTTGATGTCCGCTTCGTACTTAGCGTTAGCCCCGTACATCATGCTTTGGACAAGCCCCGGTCTGTTCGCGCGCTGGCCACATTCGATGAGGAAGTCGACCAGCGACTGGACGAACGGATGCGTCGACTCCTTGTAAAAGTTGTTGAGCCTGTCGTGAACCTCGCGTCAGACGATACACTTAGCACATGCAGCTCGAGAGGAGCGCGTGCCTATAGTTCATCGCGCAGAGCGTGATGGTGTCAAACGCGAGGCGCGTGAAGTCCTCAACAGGCTCGATAGTCACGCGCGGGCCGAACCTGTGTTCATACATTCAGAACGGGGGTTCCCAAACACCGCGGACGACGAGAACGGGACGCGCACCGTTCCCACTTCTTGATCATCTGATCACAGATGTCCGTCATGTCGTCGAACATGTCGCGCACCTTCGCCGTGCTGAACGACGGCATGAGCAGGCGATCTGCGGAAACCGCCCAACGTCAATGACAACGTAAGCGTATTTCTCGAAATGAATGAGAGAACTCACGGGCGATGCCCCAGTTCTCTTCTTCATTGTATGCCTGTCGCGTTTGTGGTCAGATATGGGCCGGCGGCAGGTACGAGCGATAAGGGAAGTCCCGGACTGAACGGAGAAGGTGCGACGGCGGCGATGGCATCCGACGCGCGCGCGCGCGCACGCGAGATGGGACCGCGCGTGAAGAGAAGCTTCGCGGTCAGTGCGCGGCCGGTGTGGAAAGTCCCGGAGGTGATTGCGTGTGGCGTAGGGACCACAGGGGAGAACGCGAGACGTGCAGGTGTAGGGAAGCATCGGGATACGCACTGTAAACAGCCCATCCCCAGTGCCGTTCCGGACCTGCACCAGGCCGCCCATAACGGCCTTCTTGAAGCGTTTCTCGTTGGAAAGCTCGTTTTGAAGCTCGTAGGAGTTGGCCATGATGGTGGTCCGGTCTGAAAAGCGCATATATGCGGGGCCAGTGGAGAGATCATGGTGGCAGCGGATGAAGAGAGGAACGCGCGAGCGCTTAGAAGTGTCGCGTTAGAAGAGACTGCATATACGCACTGATCATGTTAAGCTTGTATATTTCCCCATACTGGTCTGCGAGAAGCTCAAAGGAGCGGTGAGGAACCTCGCGGTCGATTGAAGCAATGTTGCCAATGAACGGCAGAGAAGGCGGGGACGGGATGGGGGTCGTCATCGTTGATGGTCGTTGGGTAGCAAGTCTTGGTCGTTATATGCGCGTGCGTAGAGCGAGAGGGATGCGCGTAGATGAAGAGAGGACGCAGACGTGGGCGCGGAGCGATTCAAGCTTAAGAGGAATCGAAGAGTAGGAGCGCGCGGCGTGGGTGAAACGAGGCGACTCCGAGCGCGCTGGTACAACGTTGGTATATCTCCTTTCTCGACCTCGAACAGAACGTCGCCCATGTGGCATCCAACTCGGACGTACGGCCACCGGACTCAACGGCGAACGTGGAACACCAAATATGATGCTGCCGGGGTCGGGTGAAATTAGAAGAGCGAGATGATGCGTGGCGAGCCGGTCAAGATCCCGTCGGGGCCTTCTCGTCGCCGTCTCCGGTGAGCACATGTGCGATAACTCTCCTTAGCCTCGATGACGGATGTCGGTCATCGGCGCATACTGCCCGGTGGAGGCATATACATCCCAAGAGCCAGCGTCCCTACGAGTTTTTCATCACGATATCGTGGGCTCGCTTCGTGCGTACGGCCACGGACGCAAGCAATCGCCGACATGTCGTGACACATCCCGAATCCTAGAGTAGATGTGAAAGCACACAAACACAGATGGAATGAGTTGAAGTGCAGAGCGTTGTCTTTGTTGTGGCTCACTGAAACATCTATCATGGTATGATTGTTGACCCGAAAGCACTGACTTCTCGCTCTACAACTGGGATCAAAGCTGGCTTAGGCCTGGATCTAGTACACCCTGTGATATAAGAGATTCAGAGCACCCGAAAGCAGCCTAAAGGAGAGACTTGTCGAGTACAACATTATGCGGGGTATATAGCATAGTCTAGTGTGGGTACTGTAGTAGTGTAAGCTCGACTTAGTTTTTCGGCTTCCGCGATACGACGAGGTACATGGGCGTGAAGAGCTGAAGAGAAGTCGGGTCAGGACGTGCCATAACCAGGAACAACAAACGAACCTTCTCGCGACCGCTCTTAACGAGCGCATCTGCCGCAATTTTCAGCGTCTCACCGACCTCGAAGGTGCCCTTCGGCACAATGCCCAACTTCTCGATGAACCACAGCCCATGGTGAGTAACGAACTTGCCGCTCGAGCTCATCCGCCAGACGGTGAAGACGTCCCACATGGTCTGCGCCTTGAAGATGTCACCCTCGAGCGGGTAGTACCATGGCACGTCGTCATTGTGGTCCGCGAGGTCGTCCTCGTACTCGATCTCGAAGCCGACTTCGCGCAGCGCCGTCCGTGCGTTCGAAATGGGACGCATTTCAGGGATACCGTTCCCAATCTCGATCTGGTGCGCGACTTCCTTGTGCTCCGGGATCGACGGGTCCCACTTGTCTGTCATCACCCACTCGTACACACCGAACTTAAAAACACACAAGGTTGAGTCGTCTCTCTGATAAGTGGCAATGCGATAAGGTACTCACGACGCCTCCGGGCTTGAGCACCTTCATGATCTCGCCGTACACACCCGCGAATGACGGTGCGTGAACGGTAGCCTCAATGGCATAAACGGCGTCGAAGGAGTTAGGGCCGAACTTCTCCGAGAGCTTCATAAAGTCGCCGATCTCGAAGGTGACGCGTTCCGAGAGACCCGCCTTCGCGGTGAGCTTGCGCGCGCGGCCAACCTGGAAGTCATTGTTGTTGAGACCGACAATGTTGACGTCCACGAACTGGGCGATCTCGCGCGCGGGTCCACCGATACCGCAGCCGACGTCGAGAACGCGCATGCCGGGCTTGAGCTCCATCTTGAACGCGAGGAAGTGCTCGTGGCGCGCGAGGGCTTGATAGAAGGATTCACCCTTGTAGTAGCGTGAAAAGTGGAAGGATGTGCCCCATCCATACTCGTAAAGGCCTGTTGCGCCATCATAGTAGCCTGCGTGAGGAGTCAGTATATAGACACGGCGACCGAAGACTGCATGCGCGCGCGCTGCTCCCAGGCTCCCAGGGGTAAAGACAGGCACCGCACAACTCATACCCAAAATAACGTCCCGCGCAGCCCCATCTCGCCCACGGGAAGACATCACGGTGCAAAACCCATTCACGCCCTCCGCAGCAACACGCGCAGTACAGCTGGAACAGAGGACTCACCGTTGATAACGTCGGTGTAGTTGGCGAGACGGTTGTCGGTGTCCTCGCCCTTCTCGGTCGCGAGATCCTTCTGCCAAAACTTGGCATAGTTTTCGATGCGCTGGCCCTGACGGCCGTCAGCGTAGGTCTTGTTCGTCGTGGCAGCGGGGGCCATTTTGGGGTATGTATGGGGAGGCTGTCGTGGCGAAGCGCATGTGGTCAGCAAACGTGCCCCAGCATGCGTCGAGCGAACAAGAGAAAGCGAGCAAAGGCGCGTCAGGAAACGGGCGAGTGCCAGCGTGCGCAGTGGTGCGCCCTCGTACACCCACGTCGGCACCCACCAAGCACGCCGAAGCCAAAGTTGAATCACTCACTGGAAGGGGGCGGCTGAACGCGGAAAAGAGGAAGGAAGGAGTGTGAGGAGAGTGGGCCGACTCTGAGATTTTTATACGACTGTGTCACGGAACAAGCCCCGCGATGCACGTGTAAGCGCCCCATACATTGGACGATTACGAGCGCCGTCGACGGTCCGGGGGGGACCGTGGCGAGGCCCCTGTCGGAGCACAAATCTCCCAACTCCGGTGGCTGCTGACGTCACGGGCTGGAGAGCGCCGCGGCCGGAGAACGCCCACCCACTCTTCCGGGATGATCGCGCTCGCCACTCATATACAAGTCGCACAGCGCCTCAGATCCAGAGGTGTACACTTCCCTTCACTCCACCATGTCCTCCTCCGGCGGGTATCTCCTGCTACTCGTCCTCTGCATTATCATCTTCTGCGTCCCCAGTGAGGGCGTTTACGCTTTCGGCGCGGGCAACATTCCGAGGTACGGCCTTTCGCGACTACATCGGGGCTGTGTAAGGGCTCATTGCGTTCGCGAGACAGCTTCGCGTTCCTCGAGGGCAAGGCTTTCCGCCATGGTGATATTGTAAGCTTTGTCTATCTCTGGTGCGCGCGGCATCTCCCAACCGATTAAACCCTCCTTGGTGTGCCAGGAAGATTCGCTCGAAGAAGTCGCGAAGAAAGCCGGAGGTTTCGCGCTTGGAGCGTTGATTGGAAAGGGCGGATCTAAGTTTGGGGGGTTGGATATCAAACGCGTGTACTTCGGGTGCGTCATCCACAGTCTTCCTGTACTCCCAAGCAATCGCGGCCCTGATCATGGAATGACGCCACCAGAAATTGGCTCCGTGACTACAGTCAGGTCAGCCATGCGCTTGTGATGGTCACCGACACTCCAGAGTGCTGAAATACGTGCACGCAGGCCGTCGATGTAGCTGGTTTGCAGAAGTTGCAGCTTCAAGTATGCATCCTTCGCTTCATCACCAGGCCGTACTAACTCTTGGCAGACGATCATCAACCTTTGCATGGCCCTTGGTTTTTTGGTTAGATTACCCCCCTCTATCTTTAGCACGAAGTGACACTATTGTTTACTCAGGCTCACGGGTACGCCACGAACGAGTTCGAGGTTACGGAAGATCGTCTGGGTGTCTACCTTCCGGTGCGTTCTTTGAAGTATATTTCATGCGATTATACCGATTGACCGTCCAACGCTTATGCATAGACCGAGCACATCGACAACCCTAAGGGATATCCCGACAATGCACGGCAATATCATCCGAAGTTGCGACCCCCTGTAGATGTGAGCCAGATATCCACATACCGGTTTATTTCTTGACTGATACCAATTAGCAAAGGGAGTTGGATATTGACCCTCGCACAGGGATGAAGAACTACATCGGAAATGGTACGCTTTGTCTGTTGGTCATATCTGGGTATATATTTACATGTGCCTATCCAGAGAATGGCGGATGGGACACATCAAAGGCACTCGTACGGCGCACTCTAGAAAGGTGCATTCAGATTGGCCGTCAAGCCCGTGCGGGAGGGAACAAGGTGGATACCTACGAATCGTACCGTCTCCTTGGCCAAGCAGTACGTGATGGTTTTTTTTTTCTCGGTTTCAGAGCTTAACTCTGTATTTGAAGCTTCATACTCTCGAGGATTACCCTGCGCACTCCAATTTTTGCGAACTCTCGCTTGTGATGTTCGGATATCACGACGTCTTCACTCATGTTGGCGATCAAGTCCGGATACAAGCGCGTGACGGTCGGATGGTCGCCCCCATTGTAACGGGTAAATGGCATTAAAGTTTCGTTGCATTCCGTATGCTCACCAAAGAGCAGGTACCTTCGGTTCGAGTGACTTCATCCACAGTCTTCTCGGGGGTAAGCACATCAACCGTCCCTTGATTGATGTCACTAAGTCGATACCTGATTGTAGAGGCGACCGATCACCTCGTGAGTCGCCACGGGCAGATGCTCCTACTTGCATGCTCACCTTGATCACAGAGTCAAGCATCTGTTACCGACCTCAACGCTGAACTGGATAAGGCACGAGCCAAGTCGGGCTCGAATACCCGTGGAGGCGAGACGCCGGGAAATTCCCTTCGCTCATTGCTGTCGGCGATTCCTGGCGGCAACGATAGCGATTTGGAGCGCGAGATGCAGAATTGCGAGCGGATTCGCGATGGTCCGGCTCAGGGCGGGAAGCGGCCTGAAGACATGACCCCACAAGAACTTCACGCCAGCCTCTGGCAAGTGCTCAAGTTTAGGGACTCCGGTACGTCTTTTCCGCTCCCAGCTGACGGATTGGCTGAACTCGTCACATCTAGTTGTCAAGAAGATCGAGAAGACGATCGGTTTGTTGCCTAATTTGTGGATCATATTACTCCTCTGATCCTTTCTTCGATGCAGAGAGGATTCCCGGTCTGGGTCCGATGATCGAGAAGCTCATGGATTCCATCTCGGGTATGTCGTACAACGTCTTGCAAGATGCTTTACTCATGCCCCTCAGTCTTCGTCTTCACCACGCTTGAGGTAGAGACCATTGCTTTCCTTGTTGTCAATATTAACTCATCCGCAAATGCAGCCGATCTTGAGGCCAATTCTCAAGCAGGCTACGTCGGGCCTCTCTCAAGCATCGGGAGAGGTGATCAACTCGGCTGACCAGTTCGAGGTCTTCAACAATCCTCATTCTGTGAGCCGTTTCGACTCTATCTTTGCCGAGGTGGTTCTAATCATCTTCCAGTCTGACCCCACCCACTCGTTCCTTAGCAAAGATCACTTCGTGAGCTGGTTTCTGCTTGATGAGGGATAGCAGCTCATAGCGCTTCAGAACCTAATCCTGAACGAACCCGCGGGCCGCTTGGGGAAGATCATCCTGGTAAGTGTGTGCATATGGCGTCGTGGATTATTCTAACCCCATGCAGATCCATACTGCGAATTCAGTAGTGAAGGCCTGGGATGACACGTCGATAAACATCCACCATGTCACCGAAGACATTCTGCAGTGCCTGTACGTGCCGACATCCTGGTCCTCTGAATTGATCATAAATAGGCTCGCTTCTAGCTTCCATCCCAACTTTCAGGACAACAACAGTCAGATCCAGCGTCAGATGCTCGACTACATGCGCACCTGGGTCGAAGGCCTCGGAAACCAGAAGCACGAGATCCTTCGTCGTCTCTCAAAGGATGGCGTGCGCAACCACAAGAACATCCGCCTTGGCAGCACCGAGCACGGCCCAGGAGAGGGAACGCAAGCGCAACAAGGCGGATTCAACGCCCAGCACAAGATCCAGGGCTACACGAACCAGATCCCCGGCGTCTCGCAGGCGACGTCCGCCTTCGGCCAGGCGCAGAACTTGCTCGGCAAGTTCAGCGGGCCCAACACCGGCTTCGGGAGGGACGCAGAGTTCCCGGGTGGCGGCTCTGGTCCAAGCGGGTACCCTGGCGCGAGCACGCCTTCTCATAGCTCCCACTCCCACTCCGCGGGCCCGCCGCCGCCGACTTCGGGCGAGGCTGCCTCGTTCTTCAACCCTGGCGGTTCCTTCCCCGGCTCCGGCCCATCATCCTCTTACGCGCCTCCTCCTGGCCCTCAATCCTCGTTCGCGCCCCCGAGTGGCCCGCCCCCGTCCCAGTCGTACTCAGGCTTCGCGCCGCCGCCCGGGCCCCCTCCAGGACCTCCGTCGGGCTACAACTCTGGCTACAACCCCGGGTACGCCCCGAGCTACTCGCCATCGCCGCCCGTTGGCTTCCCGTCGGTCGACGTCCCTGGGAGCCACTACCCGGGGCAGTCCTCGTACCCTGGTGGCCCTCCTGCCGGCTTCGCGCCTCCGGGCGGTCCGACAGGTTTCGCACCTCCAGGGGGTCCCCTTGGCTTCCCCGATCCCGACATGCCTGGAGCGCATGGGCATCCGCACCATGAGCATCACCACCAGCACGGCCATGGGCACCACCACCAGGGCCCGCCCGGGGGTGCGTTTGGCTGGCAGTGAGCAAGCGTAGGAGGAAGCCCGGCAAGGCCTCGCGATGGGCCTCGCGACGAGGAAGATGAAGCAAAGCGAACAGAATGGGCTCGCCGCCCGCTGTCACGGCCAGGCGAGAGGTCGTAGAAGAAACGGAAGGAGGCACAACGCAACAGATTCTCTTGTATTAGGTATTCGTCGGAACAGCTCCTGTTGTAGTTTATACGTATGTAGCCGTACGCACGCTGCCAACACGGAAATATGTATGAGTTCTACCATGTGGTGCTGGACGGGCGATGGGCGTCTATGGATATTCATCCCCGATGACGATGAGCCGCGGGAGCCGCAAGCGCGACGCGTCGCGTCGCGTCGGGGCCGTGATCAAGCTTCAAGGCTTCAAGCGTGATCTCCGCGATCGCGCCACTTCGTCCATCGGTCTCACCTCGTCCTCTTGCGCATTCCACAACCACGACCTTGAGCTGCCTCGATCTCATACTCTCCCTCGCCCATGGCCACGCGTCCTTCCGCCGACCGCGCGCAACGCCGCCCAACGTCACACCCTGGCTCGCTCCGAACTCGTGCACGGACCGGCGGCGGGCGGCCGTGCCAGAACCCGAAGCATGTCCTTCCTGGATGGGAGAGGATCCTGCGGACGGGCACCTGGGCTGCCTGAAGGGGCGAGAAGAAAGGGCAAAGTTCGGGGTCCTCTGCGTGGGCGCGGAAGCCGTTTGAGAGGCGTCTACGCGCGCAGATAAGTCCCACACCGAGTCGACGCGTTTGCTCCCAGCCCCCGCCCACACCCGTCCGTTGCTACTACCGATACCCTGCCATGAACGCGACCTACGACCCCAATGACCCCTCATCCGAAATTCCCGATGATTTCCCGGGAAACCTTTGCGACCCCCTCTACTACGACATCGACTTTTCAATGGCGTCCCTCGAAGAACAGTTCCAACCTCAGGTCCCTCCACCGCCCGGGACTGATTTTCTGTCATTGTTTCCCGACGCTCACATCGATCCGCGCCTCCTCGAGCTCGATCCCACCGAATATTACTGTTCCCCACTCTCCAACTCCCCCACCCCCAGCCTGGAGAATATCTTCCCCATGCTGTCTCCGTCGCGGTCAGAGAGCACCTTAGTAGGCTCTCCCACCCTCATGGACCACGACGACTTCAACAAGTCGCTGCCATATGGCCCTGGCACTACCAGTGACGCACTCCACCTCTTCGACTTCCGCTTTGGGTACGAGCAGCCCCCCGCATTCCCGCAACTCAGCATGTACGACCTCACGCCATATGCTGATGGCGCTGAGCAGTCGCATGCGCAGCAGATCCCTGCTGCGTGTGAGATAACCCAACGCCCGTCGCAGGGGGTGGAGGCGATCGAGGTGTCCATCGCCCCGCTCTCCTCCACCAGCCCTTCGCCGCCTTCGACTCCATACGACATCCAGGTCGAGGTCGACACCAAGCCCACGTCTCCACCGAGGAAGCGCCAGCGCGCCGTGAAGGCCCCCCGCAACGAGACCCCCGCGCCGACGAAGAAGCGTCGGCGCCAGGACACGACGAAGCGGCTCCAGTGCCCGGAGTGCGGGAGCAGTGAGTCGCCAACGTCCTTTCGTGCGCACTCCCGTCTGACCGTCTTGAATCCCTGTCGCAGTGCACGCCCGGTCCCACAACCTGAAGGTGCACGTCGAGTCCGTGCACAAAGGTTTGCGCAAGAACCGCTGCACGGAGCCGGGGTGCACGAAATCGTTCAGCCGGCAGCACGACCTCGCCCGGCACATCGTCTCCAAGCACACGGACTTGGGCTCCCCGCGCCGCAAGGACGCCGATGGCAAGACCGTCGACGTCAAGGCTGCCAACGTCAAGGTCAAGGCCGTCGACAAGGAGTAGACCATCAAGGTCGTCCCGGTGAGCCCGTTTTTTGTGTCCTTGCTTCGTTCATCACGCTCATGCCCTCCCTCGCAGATCCAACGATCGCGGACAACAGCACTATACGACTTCTTGAGTCCCACGCCCTCCTCAAGCCTTCGGTGACCGACGGCTTAAACATGGCGTGGGACTTACTTCAAGAGGGGTCGTATATCGCTGATGTTTGAGACCGATTGCTCGCGTCTTTGACCAGGAAAGTTCACTCCCCCTCAGTGCCGTCTTGGCTTGCCTTGAGCTTGAAGCGGCACTGAGGGGTATGGCGCTCTGTCCTGGAGAAGACGTGGGCATCTGGAGAAAGGGGTGTTTCTTGGTCTCGCTCGAATCCGACTGTATCTGTTGTAAGTCTTGTTACTTTCCTTGCTTGTATATCCACCATCTACCCGTGCTTGTATCTACCTATGCTCCTCCTGCTATGTCTACGTTCCCCTCCCTGCAACTGTCGTCTGGTGTTCCTTGTACGATACAGTGTAGTGCTCGATGCTCGTGATTGTTGTCTGTATTGACTGGCATGTACTATGACTCGTCCTCTTCATGATATGTTAGGCCCCCGCCAGCGTCTCCAAGTGTGCTGCGGTAGCACCGATGTTCTCATTGCCCTGAATATATGCTTCTATTGACTGCAAACCTGTACTGTCGCCCATCTGTGTCGCTCGTCGCCCAATTTCGCATGGCACTGCACAGCCCAAGGCGCTCTCAAGCCTCGAGCCCCGAAAATCGTCCCAGCATCCCACCTCCATCTCCTCCCACAGCCTCCGATCCCGCCCTTCGACGCCCTACATAGCCCGCGGCGTGCCGCAGAGGTCGCGCGGGGTTCCTCGCGCCAAGAGCCCCCACGCGTGAAGTAGGGTCGCGGCGCGCGCGGGGTTCCGCACGCGCGTATCGCGGGGTGCGTCCGTCCACCGCCGCCTGGCCCGTATCAACTCCGCCGCGCGATCTCCGCCGGGCACGTCGACGGTGGATCCAGCGGACACGGGTGTGGGCGCGTCTCGATCGATCGCCGCGCGTGCAGGGTTTGTGGGTGGTGCGTGCGAGGGCCGGCGGGACCGGGGGGCTGGCTCGTCCTCGGGGTGACGCGGCGCGGGGCCTCGTGAGCGGTGCGCTGCGGTCGCGCGCGGCAGCCTGGGAGATGCGCAGGGGCGCGGAGAGTTGGGGGTGACGCGACGGTCGGGCTTCTGGGTGCGGGCGCGCGAGCGATGCGCGGTTTCGTATTTGTGGATTTGTGGAACGCCGCGGGGGGCCACATAAAGCTCGGAGAGCCCGGGTCGGTGGGGTGCGCATTTCGTCGCCGGGGGCGAGAGCCTGCGGCAAGGCCTGGGCGGGGTCCAGCGCGGAGTGCGGACTGGTCGGTTTGGTAGAGCTCGGCACTTCATCGCGCGCGTTGACCGCGGGGTCGCGCGGGATGTCTGAGTGGATTGCTGTTTGAAGGCAGTGCATCGCGAGCTAGACACTCTCCTGAAATACGCGTATTTAGCCAGCCCTGCCTTCCCAAGGAGGCCTCCGGGCAGCCCACATCGCTAGACACCGCGTCTTGCGCCCCAGGTCTCCAAAGCTTCAACGCTCACGGTCCCGTCTAGAGTGTGCGTGAAAGAAGTCCAAGTGCCACGTCTTGAGGGAGTGATGGTGCCCCTCGGTGCGCGAGTACTGCTCCAGATCTGTTCAGCGAGGCTGATTTGGCGCAGCGAAATGCTGTAGAGTACATTGAACCAGCATGTCGCGCTGCGCGAGAGGAAATCTGTGACATGTCGATTAGGATAGGCAATACGCTAGTCTCGGGAGGAGGCACGTACGAAATGCATGGAATGAGCAGTCATGTCACTCAAATGGGAAAGCATGGCAATATCCGACGGTGGGAATGGTCCAGGAGGTGGAAGAGGAACATGCTAGGCGTGGCATTGGGACATAGAGAAGGAGACGGCGCCGGGCGACGGATGATCAATCGATCAAGGTGAGGAGCAACTCGAGTGGCCACCGCTTGCGCGATGATGCGCTGTGCCGCAGTCACGTGGAGCGGCTGAATCGCTGTTGAAAAGTTTCGCGCGCCCATGGACTTGGACCTGAACGCGTCTTTTCCCTCGACGATGATGTCCGTCGGGCTCTTCGAATGCTCTTATCATGCCACAGGCGATCCTCGTCCGAGTTACGCTGTCCCACACATCCACGTGTCCCGCAGAGAGCGTCTCCGAGAAGCCTCTCGCAGCCCGGACCGTATATAATGTGCGTATCTCCCTCGGCGGTGGTCTCTCGCCCTTCGAGTCACTGTGTTTTGTTTTATTCTCTTTGTTGCCACTTCACATATTTCTTTGATATTCCGGCGATGGACGTCCCGGACCCCAACGATTTCTTCCTCCCGGGCGATGGGGCGGGCGATACTTGGGACGCCTCAAACGTTCCTCTCGAAGGTGTGCACCTCGAGCCGCCCCCGCAATGCCTGGTTGACATCTTAACGTCCATCGCCGACAGCTGGAGCGATCTCTCCGCTGGTTTCTTTATAATCCCACAAAACGAATCTACAAAACTTCCCTATTCTTTTATCCCTTCCAATTCCCGTTCTCCTTCCGCAAGCCCCGAGGGCATCACCGACGGGAGCTCGTCGTCCTCATCGGCTCTCACCCCTATCTCTCCGTCGCTATCCGCCAAGGACGGTTTTCGCGCTCTCGCCCAGCCCAGAGGGCAGGAGCCCGAAGAGAAGGTGCCGTGTCCACATGGCTGCGGTCAGAGTAAGACCCTGTTTCCTGCGCCTCCGTCCCGTCTAACACTGTGGTCACTGTGCGCGATAGACATTACAAAACACAACCTCAAGGCTCACATTCAGACGCACGGGGAGCGCGAGCGGCACAAATTAGACTTGGCGTTGACCAGTGAGTACATCGTCTTCCAAGGATACGATCTCCAGCATTGACACGTTCCCTAGTCTTCACTTTCGCATACTCCTTCGCAACCACACTCTTTTGCCAATCCCACACAAACCCGCCGCTGGTAGGCCCTCCGTCAATTGGGCCCATCCTAACGGATCTTTAACGCGTTTTGCCTACAGCCCTAGCGCTCTCCGTCTGATTCCGTAGGCGCCTCGAACAATGTTCACGACGAACGCTCGCAACGCCGACCTTTCGCCTCAACATTGGCTCCGCAGACTCCCACGGACGCCGTGGAGTGTCTCCGGTGTGCACCTGGGCGATGTGTTTGATACTGATTCGCCCACGACTGTCCTCAATTTCGAAGCGTTTTCATGAGCTGAACGGCTTTTAAGGCGTTATCTGTGCCCCGTGAGGTTCATGAAAACGCTTCGGGATTGGGCGCACTTGCGAGTCAATCAGTATCGGATGCATCGCCCAGGTGCACAGCGGAGGCAAAACACCGTCTGTACATCTTCCGACCAACTCGACCACGTTCATTTTGATATCTGAAGAAAGTCACGCCTGTCCATGTCGTTTGTTCCCCTCCCAGGTGTCCCCTCATGTCCCCCATCACCTCCAAGGGCTGGCGCCTCAGCCAGTCCATCCTCTTCTCCGCATAACCATCATCCCTCGAACCTTCACTGGTGAGTCGCGGTCCCTCACTCTTGCACACAACTAGGCTAATTTGGTTCCCCTCCATGACGATACAGACTCGTCCGTGTTGTCTCCATGTATGATAGGATGACGAGTTCTCGCATCGGCCTCGCACGCATATACTCAAAACAGCACACGACGCGCCCGCATGCGCTGTGCCCGGCTCCAAACCTGTCACGATGTCTGTAACATGTCGCGACGGACCCTCACAACGCTCCTCTTGGTGCTCTGGTACGTGCCGTCTGTCGCCACCCCTGTGGATACGTAGCCTGCAGTGTGCTCACTCGCCGATGCCACAGAAGTGGAAAGCACGAATGAAGTGCAGCCGTCTGTCTTCCCAGACGACATAGATGATGCGTGGCTTGCAATGACGCCAGGGTGAGTAGCGCAGAGTGTGTCAGTGAGGACTAGGTGCTCACACTTGCGCTCACAGTCCGCACCGACCAACGTATACGCTACGAAAGAGCCCACGTCGAGCAGAAGAGGGTTGTCGCCGGTCTTCTCAGCTGTACTACTAGTGTCCTGCTCTGCATCCCGACTCTGCTCTGCCCTCGCTTTCCATCTATGCCTGAACAATGTTAGGATCCTATTCTCATGCACGCGTGTTGCCATTGTGCAAGTCTCGTGACCACTGCCTCCGCGCCCTGGTCCTCGCAAAGATCGGTTTTCAAGAGTTCATCCGTGCAAGTCCCCAGAGCACGAACTTCGCCGCCGTTAGCCCATTGGACTGCTCGGTACGTCTCCGCATGTTGGACATGACTCGCCCTGTCCTCGTACTAACTCTTTGGTTCTCAGTCTTCGAGATGTGACGTGCGGTTGAACGTTTGAACGGTGCGCACCGCGCAGAGTCGGGCGGCTTTTCAACATCTCCAATCTTAGCGCTTGAGGCAACGTTGCTCTTATCGACAGCGAATGGGGAGCCTCGAGGCTCTGCGGGTCCCACCCCGCGTCGAGGTATCACTCTCCGCCTTGCACGTGCACGTGTCCCGCAGACGGCTTCTTTCTCACATTCCGAGTATATGACGCGCCGTCCTCGCCGTCCTGTCTCTTCGTTCGATGCGCCTCTTGCGCTTCGACGTCTACTTTCCTGCCTGACTTTTCACTCTCTTTCTTCTAATCTTCGGCGATGGATCAGTCTTCCACCCACCCGGCCCCAGTCGACAGTCCGGTCCATAGTACGGACTGTGGGGTGCACTACGGCGACCCCGCGGCTTCATCGGATGTACCTCCCGACATACCGTACGCGCTGCCTCCCGGCTTGGAAGCTCTCTTCTTGTCCATCGTCGAACAAAGCTCTTTTCTTTATTCAGATCAACCCACTATCTCTTTTGATACTCCTGCTTCTAATCTTTCGCGGATTGATGACTTCCCACCTTACTCGTCCCCTCCCACCACCTCGTCCTCCGATTGGTC